GTTGACGAGAGGAGGAACATGGCCTGATATCACAATTCATTGTGGAAAGAGTTGATTCTAATTCAGGGGGCGGAAACACGTCAGGGCCAAAAAAAGGAAGTGGGAGGTGAAACCGAGACCGCAACTCAGCCGGATACTGCAGTGGAACTTGAACCAAAATACTCTGCAGAGTGACATGGCAGGGGGGAGGGGCTGCAGGGCCTGTGGTGTCTCTGGTGGAGGGAATTTACTGTTTGTGAAATTGTTTATCATATTTCCATTGACCACTCTCACCCCAATCGGAAACAATGAGCTACTATCGAGACCTCCATTGATTTAACTAAACATAGAAGACTGCTCTGTCTAAACACTGAAGTGTCCTTGAATGTAACTTTGGGATGATGAACCTGTGTTGAACTTTGGACGGTTGCATAAGAGATCCCACCTGGTACGTCTGCAGTGGATGGTGTGAAAACTTAAACTTTTCAACCCGCTCACAAGGAGATACTTTTCAGACTTCACGGGTCAGAGTACCCCCCAGGAGGCATATTGGTTTCTAACCAGCAACTCTCCTCTGGGAGGGGTTTGTATCAATACCCCAGATGTCTGAAAAAGGCTGGATTTACATGAGGGACTTTGATGTTCTGATGATCAATCTTTAGTTGGTGGTTTCATTGACCCTAATTTGGTGTCTCATCAGTGGGCCAGGCAGGAGTAGGTAATGGAGGTTTTTGTTCCTTTGGTGGTTAAGCCAGCCTTGGTAAACCCCTATGTGCCCTCTCCATGAACTCAGGGAGATCATTGATCAAATTGTCCTGCATCTGCTTTGTTTGCCTCCCTGACTTAACAGTCAAAGCAGCCTGCGTTCACAAAACAAAACAACCAAAACAATGCACACACGCACACAGTTAGTCGGAGAGTCCATCGCCTCGGAACAAAAGTGTGTGTCAGTTGTAATATCGCTCTTGACCTTGATTTGCCCATCTTATTTGACTTATGAAATCACATTTTAAACAATTGGCAAGTGGAGGATAATTCCACACTCATTGTGAAGCATGCCAAGTGGGAGAGCATTCTTCCAAAAAAACACCTACTTGAATCCATCAGTACACCATTAAAAGCCAAGATTTGTACTTCCAAATACACTGTGCATTTTTTTTCTCTCTTTCATATCTCGGAGATATCCTGCCAAACAGCTGGATTTTGCCACTCAGCTTCCTTGAATGTGTTTATTTTTACTCCAAATGTCAGGAGAGTTGAAATATTATGATTAAGAAAAAAACTGACAGCTGAAGTTGAACATTGAACAATATATTGCCGTCTGTTTTACCTCTCACATCCCTTGGTGATATGGCAAAGGCATTTAATATTTTCTTAATTTATTCAAACTTACATTAATTAAAAGCTATTTGTATAATCAATTCAATTGCCTAACCGGCACTAAGTGATCTAATATGCGTGGTGTCTTCAGTCTGTCTTCTTCTGCTTTTTCTTCCTCTCAGCTAAAGAAGTGCAGGAGATTTATTTCACCAGAGCATCTCTGGTGTTTATCACTCACTGTGGGCAGTTGCAATGTGACGTCTGTTCAATGCATGTCAACAGTGGCCTGCTGACCACATTGCGTACTTTAACTAAGTGTGTTTGGACTCAGTCAGAGATATTGTGACTGATATTGTTCTGCAAATCTGACGGCGTAGTGAAATTCAATCCAATGGAGATTTAAGTCAGAAAATCCTCATAAATGTTTTATTACGCTGTTTGTCACCACCAACAAACACAGGATTTTAAAATTCACCTTGTAACCTTCTACCTGATGTATTTGCAATTTCCTTGTGTCTTAAATGCGCGTTACTATCGCTCCTATTAACTGTGGAAAATAAAATGTTGTAGATATGCAGAACTATAGCAGAGAAGCTCAATGATTTTCAAGCGGAACTATTGCAAACTACATATGTAAACAGGCTGTACCCTAAATGTTGTGGTGATTAAAATGAAGAAACAAATCTGCAGTTCAATTTCATCATCTACTCCTCAGAAAATGCATAATATTGTTTTCATGGTGGAGCATGTTGTCATATGAAAAGCTTATATTCCTCTTACTCTAAACTCATTTCAACCACTGGATATTTTTTACATTTGATGCAGGTCATCATTATTAGTACATGGGTCGACTGTATCAGAATACATTTTGCATGCCTTGACACCAGTATTGCAAGATACACAGGGATGATAACAATAGAGGTGTTTGCTTTAAAAGGTGATGTTAAATAATGGATGTTAAGTTACTGGGAATGTTTCATCTTTTCATCTCTTTAACCAAAATCAAGGGACAGTAGTTTTAGTCTTCCCCATGAAGCTTGGAAAAACAACAACACTAATTTGACTAAACTGTAAACTCCCTGTGCCTGGGCAGTTTTCCACTGTGCTATAAGATGAGCCTGTGCTTCCATGGAATCCTGGTATATGCAAAGGAACCAGGACTCTGCAGTCAAAGAGCTCTAACGCTGCAGCCCTGCCCCACGTGACCTAGTTGACAGTCTAGGAAATAAGCCCTGCGACAGGCAGGTGTTCCAGGTGGGCCGGCCAACTTTCCAACCACAAAGCCACATCCCCTGAGGAGAGACACGATGGTACAGTCAGACCTCAGCCTGACCTGAGGGGATCCTGTCAGTCTGTCCCAGCAACCTCGTCCCTGAATCGACCTGTGCAACTTCACAGGTGGAAAAAACACCAGGAAAAAGAGACACTATGAACATTCTAATTAAATAACCATCTCATAAATTACCTTCTAAATTAATGTTTAAGCTGTAATTTAGCATAGGTCATAGGTCATGGCTTTGTTCTGCATTACATTAAGCTATCAGGCTTTTACTCTTACCACGGACAACTGTGGCTCAGTGGTTCGTCCACTAACCAGAAGGTAGCTTGTTTGATCCCCAGCTCCGCCACTCCGTGTCGAAGTGTTCTTGGGAAAGATAATGAACCTCAAATTGTGCAGACAGTGTGTGAGTGATGTGTAATAGAGAAAGTGCTGCACATAGATGCACTGTAAAGTGCTTTGAGTGGTCATCAAGACTAGAAAAGTATTTATACAGATTTGCCATTTGCCTAATGCGATGGCATATTTGTAATATGTATTTGTGTCTTAAGCAGTTTAATGATGGAAATATAATTCTTAATATGATTTACTAATTGTTGTATCCCGTCCAAAGTATCCTTCAACATCAATTTATATTAGAAATACAGCATATATAAAGCGCAACATATATAAAAGTGAATTTCACACACATTTTACAGCCATTGTATCACAGGCTAAATTTGTGTTTGAATAAGACATCTTGCAACTTTAAACTTCAACTCTGAACAACTCAAACTAACGTCAAAGGGCAAATTTAACTTGTGCTGCCTCTTTGACCTGCAAAAAGTGATGCACAGAACAAGTTTAGGGTGTGACTCAGAGTGAGGCAGAGGATGAAGTCAACACAGAAAATCTATCTTTGTTCAGACAAAAATGTTGTTGAACTTTGAATCTTTTTTTTTCTCAGAGACCTATGGAGGGGGGGGGGGGCATAAGAGGACACTACTCTACCTGCTGCTAGTACAACTGACTCAGACGTGGAGGACTCGCCTGTGGTAATAAGACACACAAGACGATCACTGGCTGTTCTGTTTGTGTAAGCCCCCCTAAACACAGAGCATGATTCAGACTAATTCTCCCACACACTCTGTTTACACTTCTGATTCATTGAGGTACTATTAATTTCTCAGGTTCATTTCATTCAGCATTTTCTGATGATTCTGTACAAAAGTGTACAAATGGCACAGCCACAGCAAGAAATCCACAAGTTCTTATCAAAACTAAGAAAAACTTAGAAAAAAGTAGTGATGTGAAACCTCAGTGACCCCAGAGGACTCTGTTTTATTTTTACAAACCAAATATAACAGAGTTATTTTTTAAACCCAATCCATTCAGAGGGAGTTTTTTCACAAACTGGTGAAAAAAAACGAGCCATGACGCTTTGTCCACTGTCATCTCTTTTTAAAACGTCTGTGGCTTCCGATCACTTTTCCACTACTACTTCACCCGGAACTCCTATGTCCAAATAGGGACGTTGGGGGGGCGGGGCCGGACACTGCCTTATTTGGAGTTTCCACTTGAAGCGCACACTTGGGCTCCAAGTCAAAGCAAAGCCTGTGGATTTTTACGAAGCGCTTGCAATATTTACAGGCGATTAACTCCGTCAACTGCTGTCTTTGTGAGCCAGTGTTGCTGCATGAAGAGAGCGGGGGTTTGTCCCAGTGTTCATGCAGAACAGGACGGGACAGAGTGTGCGCATGTTCACCCAGGGCCAAGAACAAAATGACTGCACATACATTTTCTCTCTGAACTTATTGAGAAAGACAAAGAAAGTTGCATGTAAAGCTAGCAAATGTATTTATGTAAAGCCAGCAAATGCATTTACTCCTGTTGATATTAACAAACACTACTGGCCTAACTGAAGACACGAGTCTGTTTTATTAGTGGCAGCACTAAAGCTACAACACTCCTCTCTCTTTCTCCCTCACACACACTGCTGTGTAAAAGCCGCGTAAAACCTATGCGTAAAACCCTGGCACTCTAATGAAGATACCATTACACCTGACAATAACAGAGAAAACAGTGTCCAATCACTGCACTGTTTTCCACGGGGACAGGAGGAGAGGAGACGGCTCATCCCGGGTACATGAACACTGGGTAAACGTGGTAGCGTATCTATCTATCTATGTATCTTTCTATCCATCTATCTGTCGGTCGGAGCCTTTTGCCTCCACAGTACTTTCCACAGACTGACGCGCGGAGAGCCTGGCGCTGGTAGCTCTGTCCATATATGGTCATCTACGTCACGCGAATGTTCCAGCCCCCTATTTAATACGGGCACACTGGAGTCCCCTATCCAGCTCCAATAGAGCAAGTAGGGCTGCTCTTGTGCAACCAATACCGCCGCCTCCTCCTCCATTGATTCACAGACTTCACATTCCCCCCACAAAGCAGAGCCACCAGCGTCCACAGTGATCACATTAATAACAACAATAGTGTGTGATCGCGCAGGAGGAGAGAGAGAGAGACCCGGCCGCCGCTGCTCGTCCTCCGCGGGATACTTGGATACAACAGGATCCATCCCTGCTGCTTTTTTTATCCATCCACGCCTGATCCTCACCTGTGTTCTCCACTTTGACATCGCCCGCTGAGTTTTCTTTTTGTTTTTCTCTGTGTAACTACTTGGATACCTGCGCGCTGTCCTTCATAAATGTCGGACTGAATATAACTGCTATGACAGGGAAACTAGCGGAGAAGCTCCCTCTTACCATGAGCAGTTTAATAAACACGATCCCTGACAGTCTCTACCCAGAAGAGGACATCCCGACGTCTATGAATATTTTCACCAGTACGGAATCTATTAACCACTATTCACAGATGAACACGGGTAAGATGTTTTCATTTTTATTTACTTGTGTTCGTGTGCGTGTGTGTTTTTGATCTAAGTGGTTCAAACTATGTGCGATGTGCGCGGAAGGCAACAGTTGTCTTGGCGCTTGGAGCACCTGTTTGCGCTCTGGCTGTTGCGCACAAAGGCAGATGCCCGGACTGAACACTTTCTCTGTACGTCAGGTCTAAAACACATAGAGTTCGAAAACAATTAAGAAAGAACAGATTTAAAATAAGTGGCGTGTGGTTTGTTTTATTTCACTCATGGGTTTTTTATTTGTCCGGTGTCCAGTGGACAGTGTCGTGTTTTCAAACAAAACGTAAAAAAGCGCACCTTTAGCCTCACAAGTCCACATCTAAAAAATAAAATATACAGACACGTGCTTGGATATTATATTTAATCAGCCCTATGATTATCGGTTTGTTAGAAGAAATGTGTTGATGTGTTGTGACTGGTTGTGGAACAAGGCGGATTTTACGCACTGATCACTAAAACGAAGTCGGCTCTGTCATTCAAACTGAAAATTGAGGACATGTGGTCAAATTAAAAATGCCCACTGATTTATTGATCTAATATCCATTCGCAGAGAGCGGCTCAACTATTTGCGACAACGACTTTCATTCCCAAATATTCAGGTGTCATAGATTTTGGATTCCAGTAGGCGTGTGTGTGTGTGTGTGTGCGTGTGTGTGTGTGTGTGTGTGTGTGTGGCTGTCTATCCCCATATACATGTGTTTATATATATATATTATAGATGCCGCAGGCCCGTGGAACTATTTCATATTCAGTAAAAATGCGAGGCCGGAGATCTTATTGATTTATTGCTTCCAGATGAACGTGTATTTCTGATGAGCGCAGACGCTATCACAAAGCTGACCTGTTATTTCTGCTAAGTGTCGCAGATTAGCATTAAATCAATTGGTAAATGTACAGACTCACCTTCTGAGGTGATGGGTCAGTGCTGCTCCACAAACACTACACCTGAAGATCAACATGTGATGAAGTGAACAACGATTAGTTTTTTTCTTTATTCTCGAATCAGTTTAAATGGTTAAGTTATTTCCCCCGCAAATTAAAACAGTTTGAACATAACCCGATAAATTCACCCTGATTTACGCAAGAGATGTGCCTTTAAATTATCTCAGCGCCAGGTATTGTATATAATATATTTCTGTTTTTCCAAATGAAATATATATGTTAAATTTAGCATAAGTGATTTAAAGTTCATGTCATATTCTTTTTATAAACACGGAAAAATGTACATTATCTGACCTCTGACTGGAGCTCTAAACAAACGGAATTAAAATATGGGGGGAGACGTACTGCAGAGTTGAAGTGTGTGTTGCTTTTTTAATTACATCTGACCTTGGTGAAATTCACATTATGTGTAGAAAATAAATAATATAGCCTGTACACATTTTTTAGGGGTAATTGGGGGTAAATGAAATATTTTTATTTAATGCACCACACTGTGATTTTACAACTCAATCATGTGTGTGCTCTTCAGCACTGAGCTATAAGAAAAGAGGGATGACTTTATTTCATGTCCCTCTATTTGAACAGCCCACTACTCAGATGATCCCCCCAAAAAACTAAAGTGTTGGAATAAAATGCATTAAGATCAGCTCTGACTTGTTCTCTTAATGTTAAACACACAACAACAAAATTCTGCCGTTGTGAATCATTGTTCGTGTGTCAAACATTATTGTGCAATATGCATAATTTTGGTTTTGTTTGTTTCATTGTAATTTGCCTTCTGCTAAATTGTAGCAGACTGTAATTACTGTGCGTTGACATATAAGGACAACCAGTGTATGATTTCCTGCAAATGTAAAGAGATGTTTATTTTGAGTTCTTCTTAAAAAAGAATGACATTTTCAGATATCTCACATTCAGTCTTCAGATCATGATAAAGCACCTAAATTTGTCCACATTAAACACATGTGCATTTGATTGTTTTGGGGTCTCCTAAGGAATCCATGACAAAAGTCGTGTGTGTGTGTGTGTGTGTGTGTGTGTGTGTGTGTGTGTGTGTGTGTGTGTGTGTGTGTGTGAGAGTGTGTGTGTGTGTGTAAGATTCTGTAGAAATAAAATATCAAGGACATTTGTTAAAGCTAACGAAAACAGAGATCGGATTGACACTTAAATACCCCCCACCCCCCACCCCTTGTGTGCAGATGCTCTTTGCTGCAAATGTGTTTTGAATCCCTGAGCATGATAGATGTGGCGTCTGCCTTATAATCCTCCCCGCTGTAAAGAAATCAGATCTCGCCATAGAGTTTGGCTGTCCTCCTGAGGGACACAATGACTGGATCAAAGGGGGTGTTTAGGTCTTGATTTATGAGAGCTTGTGGGATCTGAGCGAGAGAGAGACACCACCGTCTCAGATGCAGCAGTCACTCACTTAACTTACAGGTCTGACAGCGCTCACATTTCTTTATGAACTGCATTGGACTGCTTTTATTTTGGATCTCTTGTTGGCACACTTTTACAGAAATATGCACAAAAAAGGCAGGATTTTGGACAAACCCAGGACTGTCACCGCAACTTCATGTAGCTTGACAAAGTGAATTTTCTAGACTTTTTTCACAACTTTTGCAACACGCTCACTTTTGCAGGCTTTTCCTCAGAACTGATTGCATTTGGTGTTCATGTCTGAGCAACCACGTGGATGATTTGTTCATATGTTTTTTATTTGCTTTGTTGTGTAGATAATATCATGGATCTGGGCATGGGAAGCGAGAAAGCAACGGCAGAGATTCAGTATGGATCCAGCTTCCAGTCCAACCGCAGCGGGCAGACTGTCACCTATCTGGGGAAGTTTGCCTTTGACACTCCTCCGTCAGGTGGCATCGGTGGCTCTGGCTGGTGCTCTGACAACAATATCATAAGTCTCGTCAGCGCAGGGATCCTGGGTGTTTCTCCTTCACCCGGCACGGTAACAACGCAGACATCATCCTCCGCAGCCAGCATGGGCGGACAGACGTCAGACATGGAACAAGTATATGGTCCACCACTGCCTGCCTATTCTACCTGCGGTGACCTGTACCAGGATCAGGTCTCCTTTCACCACAGCCCTGCCACGAGCACGGCTCTAGCCTACCCTGGCAATGACTATCACTCCACATCCAAAGCCTCCATGGATGGCAGCCTTTTCTCCATGATCCCAGACTACAACCTTTTCCATCATCAGGGGGACGTCGGGGTGATGGAGCACAAGCCCTTCCAGAGCATGGACCCCATCCGAGTCAACCCACCACCCATCACACCCCTGGAGACCATCAGAGCATTCAAAGACAAGCAACAAATTCACCCAGGTTTCATCGGCGGGCAGCAGCACCCTCCCCAGCACCACCCACCACCCCAGACTCTCACCCTCAAACCCATCCGGCCACGGAAGTACCCCAACCGTCCCAGCAAAACCCCCGTCCACGAACGGCCGCACGCCTGTCCAGCAGAGAACTGTGACAGACGCTTCTCACGCTCAGACGAGCTCACACGTCACCTTCGCATCCACACAGGTCACAAACCCTTCCAGTGCAGAATATGCATGCGCTCCTTCAGCAGGAGTGACCACCTGACCACGCACATCCGCACGCACACAGGCGAGAAACCCTTCTCCTGTGAGTTCTGTGGACGCAAGTTTGCCAGGAGTGACGAGCGAAAGAGGCACGCGAAGGTTCACCTGAAACAGAAGGACAAGAAGCCGACTGACAAGAGCAGTGGGGCGCCTGGGAGCCACAGCTCGCCGCCCAGCTCCTGTGGGGGGCCGACAGTGGGAACGTCATGACCGTCACTACGTGCACTTGGACTGAGCCCTCACCATGCCCCATAAAGAGACTAATGAAGAAGGGATCACGTCCACTATGAGATAAATAGGTGACTTTTTTCTCTCTCTATTTTACATCCCCTGCTCCTTTCAGTTGTAGTCCTTCTATTTTGAGATGGATTCCTTAAGTTTAATTAAAGCGGAGAAAGGCTGCTACGCCATTCTCTTTCAAGCAACTCAGAGCCTCAGCTACTGTAACACAGTGCCGTGACAAAGGCACACACTGCCCAAAAGGCCACTGTGTGTTAGGTTTCAGGGGTGGATACACTTTTGTAAATTTTGCCGAGAATTTCTAAATTGGGAGGAAGCCAGAATCCATCACGAGGGTCGAAACAGACAAAATAATAATGGAGCTCAGTGGGAGGTATGCATTAATGATATTAGGCTGTTTAAAAGTGCAATTGGTTATATTTGTGTACTGTCATTGATACCTTATTAGTGGCACTTGACTGTCTTTCTGATGTTTTTGTTGAGGTGTAGTGTTTTTAATTTTCTATTTGAATGTTGTTTTCTCAACAGAATCTGCCAAATGTATTGTGTTGATTCAGCCAACCTGGTTCTTAATATTGTGCCTGATGTTTGCCAAACATAATAGTGATATCAGCTTAGCACACATGTTGAGTTCAAGTTGAGACCAGACTCAAACAGCGGATCTCAGATTTAGATTTAGAGTTGGATTTAAAGAATTTGGTTCAATCTCAATGACTGAATGGGTCGCACGAAACAAACCGATGTCTTGTCCTGTTACCTGTACTTATAAAAACAAACATGCCTGCAGCAATCAATGCCTTTGCCAAGACCTATTTATTTGTAGTCACAGAGAGACACTGTGTATTTGTGTTGCCTTATTATATGATGGCTTTATGTGGTGTTACCAGATATAATTTCTGTTGCTTTTTTTTAAAGCTCACCAATAACGTTCATTTGTTCAGTTTTCTTGAGTTCTGCAGTTATATGCAATGTATTCATGACATGTGCCACAACCCGTAAATCAAATTAACTAAGAGCACAGTTAGACAGACTACTTAAATAAATGACACCGGTTTTCAAATCAGCAGCATATGAGAGCAAAGATGAATAAGGGAAAAAAGATGAATGAGGCCCTTTGTCTGTGCTTTCTAGTGTAAAAAGATTTAACTACTTGTTTAAATGACCAAAAGATGAGCAACATATGGTGAAAGAAAAATCACAATTTCCAAATCCATGTTTACATATTTTCTAATACAGAGACTGAGACTGAGTTGTAAACTATAAGGACTTGTTTTTGTACAGTATACAAATATGTATGCAGGTAGCTATAGTAGAAGTTTCACTTTTGTACTCAAATGTCAAATGCACCATAACTCAGTATTAAATTGTGCATATTTGTGCATGACTACATGCACACTATGTAAATACAAATGTCTGCATAAACAAGAACTTTCAATTGACTGAATGCTTGTGCGGAATGTGTCTCAAAGCTTTTAGTAATGTAGTTATAATACAGAATATTTTGTTGTCATAGGAAAAAAAATTTGGAGCACTAAATTGTGCCAAATATGGTGTGTTATTTCCATTAAAAAAAGAACAATAGCAGTTGCACCATCTGTAACGCTTTAACGTGGTAAAAGGAAGCACTAATGTGTTCTCTTAATAAATGAGAAGATTTTTTTTATTACATTTTGTGTATCTCCATTATAGTTTCAATCAATTATTTCAATTAAAACATCTCCCCCCTTTTATAGAAAACACAGAATAAATGAATGAATCCTTTCTCAAACAAAATATACGACAGGGCAATGCCAATACTTTTTACACCTGACTCCTTACTGATGTTTGTACTGATGAAGGGAATACCTCAATTCAATGATGTGGAATTTTGTATAGACTCATCTTTACCATTCTCTCGGATCTTAAGTTTTATATCGATATTGACAACAATAACCACATTTGATAAAATAGCCTTTTTTCAAATATGTTGTTTTGCTTTAAATCTAGAAATAAGAAGGTTCTGTATTGTGGCTTTGTGGAGCAAATGCAAATAGTCATAACAGACTGCAGCAAATTCTCTTTTGGTCAAAAAGGCTATAAATATCAAGATATGTACTTCTATAGAAGCTAGCACAAGACACAGATGGCTGGTTCGGACAACACCATAAATTCACATGTATAACATAACTGGTAATGAAATAATTCAGCAGAAATATTTTAATAGAAAAAAATCTAATCCTAAAATGTTGTGCTCAAATACCAGATAAACTTTTTCTAAAAAAAAAAGAAACCTTCTCTCCCTCTAGTGTATATCCAGTTGTTGGCTGTGCTCTCCGACTATTAAAAGTGTATGGTGCATGTGAGACAAAGAATTTCTATAAACATTATTATCAACTGGGGGAAAAAATAAAATTTTATACCGATCAGCAGACACGGCAATCAGGCTTAAAGACAATATTGACTGACAAATGCAAAGGCCAAAGGAAAGGTTCAGGAAAGCAGTGCCACAGAGAACACAGTGGACAGAGAAACGAGGTTCCAAGGCCATGCTTTCCCTTTCCTGTAACAACCAGTTTTCACTGCTGAGCTTCCTGGCAAGTTTCCACTTATTTTCCAATTAATTTGGCCTCAGAGAGTCTTTTCTCAACTCATCTACATGGTTAAATGAACAGACCTCCTAGCACTTTTAGAGATAGTTTAAAAGTTCACACACCCTGCAACAACCAACAGTAAATCAATAGTTTTGTATCATGAAAAGTACGTTATTTTACTCCATAGATGGTCATCGGCTAATGAAACTTTTCTGAGCAGATGCAACTGAAATAACAGCTTAACAAACTCATGCCATGTTTTGACACATTACATCCCACAGCTTTCCTTCTGTCATATGACAGGTGGATCATAACTAATATTAAAACATTGCATTGGGATTTGCCAGATTCAATGACCTTTAATGTAAACATCTTGTGGCAGACAGCTTCATGGAGTCAGCTCAAACAATGTAGTCGAAAAACTAAATGTTTAACTTTAATGTTTACCAAGAATAATTTGACGTTAGACACTGATTGTTATATTCTCTGGATAATTTTGACCAAAAATTATGATCTTGTGTGCTCCAGATTTGACACTCAGCTGGTGAGTGTGGATCTTTTAATTACAGTATATAGAATGTGGCCTCTTAGAGAAAACTGTGTTTTTGTTGCTTTGTGTTAAGGACTGATGCAGAGACACTATTTCCACGTCCAAATGAAGCCCTGTAATTACAATTTAGCATACTCAATATTTCATCTGTCATCTCATCTGACTGTCTGTCACTTTTGTTCCGTGACATTTCTGTACTGATCAGACAGATTATGTAAAACAACCCAATTCCTTCCCCACATTCCAATCCATCAATATAGTTTGGTGGTTGAACAACAATACAGGCTGTACCATGTTCCTCTGAATCCTTCTGTGTAAAATGTGTGAATGCTATAGATAAATGTTAGTGACTTGTTGATCTGAGCAACACCCCCCTCCTCCTGATAATGCTTCTCAAAGAGAGGCATCATTCTATGTATTTTTAATGTTCTATTGTCCAAAAGTAGGCAGCTGAACGCTCTGAAATTGGAATTTGCCTCATCCTCGTTCTCTGCTGCTTGCTGGATGAGAGCCAACATCAGCAGCCATCTTTGTGCCAAAGTGGGTTGCAGGGTTAGCTGATCAAAAACAATGCATGATGAGAGCTGCACGGGAGCAACAAATCATACATGTGACCTCAGCCTGCTCGCAGTGGAAGGCAGCCTTGTGCTAATGTTTGTGTTTAACTGTTTGATTTAGTGTCCTTGGTGTTGGCCTCGGGCAGGGCGATAGGCTTGGGCTCATTCATGACCATTTTCATAATTAGAGGATTTAAAAGAATTTTTAAAAAAACAATTCATGCTTGAAGAGATTTCAATAATGTGTAGATATTACAGACTACTCATGTCATTTTATGGACTACAGTGTGGCTTCAGGGATTGTGTGGTCTTCAACAGTGACACTGGTATTCGGATGGAGTCAATACTCACTGTTTTCTGTTGTGTTGTGTTTCCTTTTCATTACAGTATATCCTCATGTTTGCATGTGCACGGAAACGTTTCCGAAGTGCTACCCCCTCCAGATGCTGCGGGGTGGTGGTGCTCATTTCTTTATTATGCATGAAAAATAAAAGTCACATCGGGTGAAATGGGATAAATCTACCAACTACTCAAGACAGTCAATTGGAAACACACACTGGGATAACTGTTCTATTGGCTTTTTTTTTCTTTTTCTTTTTTGTTCTTAAAGAAAACAAGAGGTCTTGTTTAAAATGTTGTGGATGTCTTTAACCTATTTCATGTTTTTATTACCTTATAATAAGGTCCTTTTATGATGAGCTGAATATTGAAATGAATTTTACTATATCCTTGTGATGGGGAGGATGTGCTCCCCTGTTTACTTGGCACTTCGGTTTGTTGTAATGCAATTGTTTTGTTATTTCTATGTAAGTACTTGAATAAAGAAAAATATCACTTGCCTTCTGTTTGCTTGGGTCCTCCACGTGCACGCGCACCCAACACAAACACACACACGTTAAACTAGTAAATATGAAGTAAATGTACAAACACATAATAATAATACTCACTTTGTGTTGTTATATTGAAACATGATAAAACCTCTGTGGTTAAAGAATTAAAGTCCGGAGGGGAAACACGGACAGCCTGTTTCCGGACTTCCTGTTCAATCCTCGCCTGTTGACTGGGGGAAAGGGATGAGGTCCTCGGAAGAAAATAAAACAACCAAGTGAAACCGGAATTAAAGTTCACTCAAAATGAGCTGGTATGTATATTCTTCTCTATATTGTCGATGTCAAATTCCAGTTACACAGAAAAGTATGCGAATAACAATGACCAAGGAGTGACGGCTCACCAGCAAGGGCTCTGGCTATTTCCCGGAAGCGTCATATAAACAGTTAGCGCTAGCTTGTTAAACTCACAGCTAACGAGAATAAAAACTCGTGTAGACTCACAAAGTCGTTCAGCGGCGGTTCACGTGTCGATACCCTGCACGAAGGCAGTGTGTGGTTTGTTGCATACTCGCTAGCAAAGCGACAGTTGTCACAAACTTCGATACACGGGTGTCCGGTGAAGCCTGGTACAGTAGCTTAGCTAGTTAACGACATGGTTAGTTGCTGAAACATTAGTGAACCAGAAATCTATGAAAACAAGACTCGGTCATTGTCTGAAGTTAAAGCAGCTTGTGCGTATTTCGGATAAAGCTAATCTGGCTTTAAACATAACATGGGGACTTAATGTAGCTGTCAGGTCAGCTGGGTCAGTGAATCCATTTAAATTGAACTGAAGTTGTCTGTGGCTAACGTTAGCATGTTGACATGTACATGTCAGGAGGATTGTTGTTACCTTCTACTCTCCTGCGCAGACACTAACAACGACATCACCTTTCGTCTTGTATGATCTGTGGATGTTATTTTA